ACCCCCGAGAGGGGCCTGCTCCCTTTGGGGGTGGGGGGGAGAAGCCGGCAACCGTGAGCGCGGTGCACGGATCGTGCGGTGTAGACAGGGGGCCCGAGAGGGTACGGGGAAGGCTGATGGCATCCTGGAACTGTGCGGAGGTTGCCTTGAAGCCTGAGCACTAGGCCGGCAGCAGGGCAGCGGGAAAGTGAGGGAAAGACCCCTTCCTTTGGCAGCTTCCGATTCTTTCCTGTCAAAGATGGCCAAATTCCACGCTGCCCTGCCCCCCCCCCCCGCGTTTTCTGCAGGTCCCCTTGGGTTGCTCCCCCGTGCTGCGGCAGGCGGTTGGGGGGGTCCGGGTGCCTCGAGGAAGGTGCGGGGAAGACGAGACCCGCCCCGGCCGCGTCTCCCACCCGCCGGCCCTTTGGGAGGTTTAGTTGAGAAAGAGGGCTCTGCCGCTTTAAGGCGGGAGTAGGCGTCCCCTCCGGCCGGGTGACGAACCGGGGCGGGGACCCGGTGGGCGTCTCCATGCAAAGCAGGAGGTCGTGCCGGCGGTGGGCGGCCCCGGAGCAAACTGTTCGGGGGCGGGGCGGGGCGAGCCCGGGGTGGGCGGGGCGGGGCGCGGGGCGGGGCCTCCCCGGGAAGGCCGGGGGCGGGGGCGGGGCCCCCGGGCGGCGGGGCGGGGGCGGGGAGGGGGAGGCGGCCGGGTTGGTACCACTGCGCGCGGGCCGGGAGGGGGACGCATGACATTCCCGGGGAGGGGGGCGGGGCGGGCCCGGCGCCGAGGCGGGGAGGGGCAGGCCCCGTGCCCCGGCCGGGCGGGACGCCGGGGCCGAGGAGGGGGCCCTTCTTCGCTCGCGTCCGAGGCGGGGCCGGCGGGACCTTCCGTGGCGCGGTGCGGCTGGGGGAGGGCCGAGGGGAGGGGGAAGGGGCGGGCCGGGGAGGGGGGAGCCGGAAAGGGGGAGGCGCCGGCGGACAATGGAGCCTATGTGTGCCTGCGGGAGTGGGACGGCGCCGCCGCCGCCGCCGCCGCCGCCGGGGGGAGACGCTGCGCCGCCGCTGCCGCTGGCCCCGGCCCCGGCCCCCCGGGGCTGAGAGCCGCGCGGACCGGAGCCGCCTCCCCGGCCCCGCTCCCCTCCCCTCCCCCACTCCCGCCTCGGGGGTAAGTGGCACCTCGCGGGGAGGGGGAGGGGGAGGGGAAGGGCCGGAGCCGGAGCCGGGGGGTGGGGGGCCCGGGGCCGCGTCCGCGTGTTTTGAGCCGGCTTGGGGGTAGGGGTGGCCGCGGCCGCCGGGAGCCGGGAGCCGGGAGCCGCGGGGTGGGGGGGAGGGGAGGTAAGGGGCGGGGGGTCGAGGTTGCGGATGTAAGTGAGTGGAGTCCGGAGAAACCTGTGGGGGAGGAGGGGGGCGTCCTCTCTGAGCGGTGGGAAGGGACCGCGGCATCTCCGGATTTTTCAGAGGTTGTTTCCCAAGCGGTGCCTGGGAGGCTACAGGAGGAGATGGGACGGTCCCAGGGTCCGGGGATGAAGGGGCTTTGGCTGGGCGAGACCGAGAGCTAGATCGGGGGATTCGGATCGAGTTTGGTGGGGTCTGTTAGGACCTCGGAGGCGGATAGAGAGCCAAAGGGGACTTTGCAGGCCGGTGACTTGTTGAAGGGTGAGGGGAAGTGAAAGCTAAGAAGGGTGTCTGAGTAGTAAAGGGCTCCAGTAGGTGAGGTGGTGATGTCTAGGTCACTGAGTCATTGTGGGGGTCGTGGACACACCAGTGATTTCCAAAGTGGAACCCTAGTCATTGACCTCTGAAAGTTGCAAAGACTATTAAGATGTCACTGGTTCGTGTTGGGGGAGCCTGGTGAAATGGAGATATCCTAAGGAAAACAACAGCAGGGTTGGTTATGTTCGGAGGGAAGGGCTAGAGGCCTGTAATATTGTCGCTGGGGGCCTTACCTGAAGGCTCCCAAGCCTGAAGGAGGAGGCCTCGATCTGTCCTCCAGGGGCCCTGGTCGGTGCTAGAGAGGAGGGACTGAGAGCCAAAATCACAGTGCAGTAGGGGACTGAGAAAGTTAGTAGACAAGGCGGAGAGATGGACATAAAGTATCCCTTGATGGAGAGAGCCTCTAAGGTGGGATGGAACTGGAGTGAAGTTAGGTAAACACGGATAGATCCCTGTCAGTGACTGTATGGCAGTGACTTTAGTGGGAAAGTGATATGGTGGCTGTGTATAGAGATACATTTTGGTCGGTGATGTGTGGTGGATTACCGGCATTTGAAATATTCAGGAATTAAGTGTTTGTTCTTAGACCAGAGATTTGGACTCTCGTGCACAGAGCACAAAATTATGAATCGGAAGTAGCAGGTGGGAAGGATGAATAGTAAAAGAGTTGAGAAATGGGGGTTGGGAGAGCAAAAGGATATAGCGGGTAACAGTCATATGTGGGTTAAGACCCTTTGACTCTCCATGGAGACTGCATTGTGATCGTCCTGTTGATTATGGTTTTGTCTTGATACTAGTGATTTGGGAAATTTTAGCAAGGAGTTGATGTTACTGTGAATAATGTTTTTGGTCCTCAGTACAATTTTAAGAAGTTAGTTGGTCCTTAGTAACTATTGAGAAAAGACCCAAGCTATTGAAGACTGAGATGACTTAATGAAAGCAGAAGTTAGTTAGATCACATAAGGATGCTTTGAAGAATGAGGATTCCAATAACTGGTGGTTTGAAAAAGAAGAGAAAATTTAAGGCAAAGTTGCGGCAGAGGTGACATTTCGTAGTTTTAGGACCTTGGATCTAATGGTATTAAAACCATTGTAGTATTATTTTGTAATAGGCATTGAACATAAGATGATCACAGTTCCACAAGATACAGTAGGTAGATAAGGAGGTCATGGACTGAAAAATGAAGGAACAATTCCACACCGTTCTCTTCTTAGAAGGCAACTAACTTGTATGTAACGTGGCTTTTGAGCTCAGGACCCCTGACCTAGGTTTTTAGAGGAGTAGCATAGGTGGAAAAAGTACTATGTACATTGGAATTTATTCTGTGGGATATTAGCCCCATAGACTTCAGAAGTGTCTGCTTTTGTGAATCAAAAGAAAATGCTCTCTGGCTTATGGTGGGGGGTTGGGGGGACATACAGAGGTTTCACAAGCTTTATAATCAACTGAATATTTGATCATGGTAATTTGGTATATTAGAGCCTTGAACTTGGAATCAGGAAACTGGCTCTCCCATTGATTTATGTGACTTTGAACCAGTCTTTCATATTTATTCTCCAGTTTTCCCATTTATGAAGTGGTGATACCACTGCTGTGACCACTCATAATACGTTGCAGCATTTAACAAGTAAATGCCTATCTACAAAGTGCTTTGAACACTTCTGAGAATGAGGGATTATGTAGCCCAACATTTTTCTCACTTCTGAAAGACTACTCTCTCTCAGGAGCAGACCAAATTCAGCTTTTGTAACAATTATGGCAGCATAGTTGATCAAGGAACAAAAACGAGTACCTTATGCGTCTGTCTTGTTCTATCACCTGGGTTTTGGTTTTCTACTAATTTTGAAAGGTGATACCTCTTCCCTTTTTAGTAGGAAGGTAGTGATAGTGATGACAATTGTAGAATGTAAGAAAAGGTCCCCATGGGAAAGTAGGAATACATGTGCTGTGAATGCTCACCTAGGCTGGTGCCCACCTAGGCTGATGCCCACCCTAAATTTAAGTGACCTTGGACATATTATTTGGCTTCCTGGTGGCTTAATTTTCTTCCAACTATGAAGTAATATTGGAATAAATTACTTGTCTACCTTGGTGACTATGATGTTAGAGTCTATAGGAGGTCACCTGGGTGGCTCAGTCGGTTAAGCATCTGCCTTTGGTTCAGGTTATGGTTCAGGTTATGATTGTCAGGGAAGGAACCACATGTCAGGCTCCCTGCTCAGCGGGGAGTCTGCTTCTCCCTATGCCTCTCCCCTTGTTCCTGCACTCTCTGTCTCTGTCTCTCTCTCTCTCTCATGCTCTCTCTCTCAAATGAATAAAATCTTAAAGGAATCTCTAGGAACTTTATTTGTTCTCGAACAACTTTCTTTGTTCTTAACTTCCTCTGCCCTACATACCCCTTTGGCAAACTAATGAAGTGTAGGACAACTTTTGAGAATTGTGTTTTTAAAATGCGTAAAAGAGAACATGTAGACTTACAAGTGACATGGAAACAGTTATAAAAATGTTAAACGATTATGATACAGTAATTTATCTGCTTCCTTCTAACACATTAAATAACAGAATGTAGCTGCAGGTCTAACCATATTGTAATTTTGAAGTAGGGATGACTGTAAATACTGTGTTGAGATCTCTGCAACAAGTGTAATGTGACATGAAAGTGTCCTGTGGTTTGTCTTGGTAACAGTCACGGGATTGCTAATACTATCACTGGTTGTTACCTTCCTCTACAATTGAAGGCAGTGCTAGCTTCTGCTAGAGGTGAGTGAGGGTGAATGAAGAAGGAAGTTTTCCCCAGTAAGTTCACAGCTGTCACTAAGTCTCTCCACAGACTCCATGTGAGGCAGTGGATCCCACGTTAAGACCTCCTGCTCAAGACCAACTGATTTTTGAAAGTTAAATTATCTTATGGCCACTTGTACCTTAGGCTTTGCAGTATTTTTTCAGCATGTCCATCACGCTAAACACAAGGGCATAAAGAATATATGAAATAAAAGTTCATTTTGCAACCTTTTGATGACTGTTCTTGGCTGTGGAGCAAGTTTAATGATTAGCATGAGGCTTAGTGTCTGGTGGTTTTGCCTTTCTAAACAGCCTTGGCTTCAATGGGATGGATTTGGGCTACACTGCTCTATCTTCTTGCATTTTAAGTTTTAGTGGTTTTGCCTTCCTTCCCCATTTTTGACCTAATTATTTTCTTACTGCTCCTTCTAAATACTGTTTTGGCCACAGAGCACTGGGGAATGGGTGGTTTTCTTTGCAATTGGTGTGAATTGGGGTATGAACTTTTCTATTCTTCTCATCCCTGTAGGACTGAATGTGGGGCTAGCTGGTGTCACTCTACTTTGACCTAATAACTCCCTTCTGTTTGGGAGGCAGAGATCATTCTTGGAAAGTTCTTCTGTGTCCCAATGTAGAAGAGAGAGCAGATTGGACATCCTGAAAGGTAAAAGAACCTGATGATGAGCATATGACTCCTGTGATTCAATCTGGAGTATGTTGGGTGTTTGTTTCTGTTTCTGTAGGGTCTCTTGTAAGTTAAAATCTTATTTGTTAATTTCTCTAGCAGTTGCAAAGGCAAAAGTCATCAAATTAAATGCAAGTCAAAACCATAAACGTGGTTACCTTCTACTTTCTATAAGCAGGGACTTCCGTAGTAGCTCACCTCGTGGGAAAGGCAGGTGGTGAGAAATTAAACAGGTATTTAGCATGTCCTCATTGGTTTGTGTAAATGTGAGGCAAGGGTAGCAAAAGTTATGCTCCAAGCTCATTATAAGCCCTGGATCGCCCAGCGTTTCTTGAGTTTCTCCCGGATGTTGGGTGCTGAGATGATGACCCTTTCCTCAAAGGGCTCTCTGTCTACACATAACAGGGATACAGTTTTTTAAGTGTCATAACAGCATTGTGACTATAATGCTGTAGGGCTCCAGAGTACGTTCCTAGGGACAGTTGGGAATCAAGGAGAATTTCACAGAGAAGGAACATTTGTGCTGAAATCTTACTTTGGGGGGTGCCTGGGTGGTTCAGCAGTTGAATATCTGCCTTGGGCTCAGGTCGTGATCCCAGGGTCCTGGGATCGAGTCCTACATTGGGCTCCCCTTAGGGAGCCTGCTTCTCCTTCTGCTTATGTCTCTACCCCACGCTCTGTGTCTCTCATGAATAAATAAACAAGATCTTAAATTTTTTTTTTTTTACTTTGGATGGCCATTATTTTAAATGATAGAAATTCATTTTTGAATGCTTTTGTCAAGACTCTTTAGTTTGATATAAGTTACTTGGTTGCCTAAAGACTTGTTAGCCCCAAGGACAATAGAGGCATTTCGACCCTTGCGTGTGAAAACATCCTTTAGTATTTTGTAGAGACCCAGGCTTTCTGTGCATGCACATGCTCATCATACAGTTTTCTTTTCTCCACATGTTGGGGAAAGGTTGGTTCTTTCTCTTGTGTACTTTTGCTGAGAGGAAGCCTGTTAGGAGTTGGCGTGCCAGAAGTTAAGAATGAGCTCGGTTTGGAATCCTGTGGCCTTTTAGTTCTACATTCTAAGTTTGATACTCTGCCTTTTATGGAGTAGTGGTCATAGCATAGAAATGAACTTTGTTAAACATGACATCGTTGCAATAAACTTCTTAGAGCAGGAAAGTGGGAAAGGATGATTGGAGCAATTGAAATTGGACTCATAGAAGTGATTCTGAGCCTGGTCAGATTAATTGTGAATTTATTTACAACTTTGTGGCAACCATATAGAGTTTCCTTTTAAAGATTCCAAAATAATTTGGCTTTAGGACAATCTGGAACTTGGTTCTTCCTTGCAATTTCAAAACTATAAAATCTGAGCAAAGGGGGTCAGTGATATAATTCTGTTTCACAAGGACCAGTGTTAGAATTTGTCCCGCTTGACCAGTAGCTTGTTTTATTGACTTATCCAGCCCCGTTCAACATAGCGTTTTGCACACAGTAGGTACTGAATCACAGGAAATCATCTGGTCAGGTTGTTCAGCCCCAAGTTCTCCCCAAAGCATGTGAAAATACATTTCCTTGCTGAGTGCTTGCTGTGTGGGGTTATGGTTTCGGGTAGGGAGGACTGCAACTGAGTTCACCCTGTGAATTCAACAGCACATCTGCACTTTTGTCTCTTTTTCCTTCCCAGTCAGCTCCAGTTCTCTGTACTAATTAAGAATGGGCAGAAGCAAATGTGTGAGGGGTTTTTTTTTCCTACTAAATGCCCAGAAATTTAAAAAGTAGAAACATTGATTTTCTTTGCCCTTCGTATTTCCCAGTCTCTGAAAGTAAAACATTTTGCTGGGGAGGAGGGAAAATCACATGGGCCTCGAGATGTCTCCAGATTGGATGATATACTCATTAAAAATTGGAAGTTGATTCCCTTTACATGGGAGATGACAACTGCTTCTTAATCTAGCATTCTAGAATACATAGGAAATCTGTTCTTTCCTTAAGCTATTCAGTAATAAGACATATAGTTGATTTTTTAAAAATCCATTTATAAGTTTTTTTTCCTTATCCTCATGCAGGTGAGGGCACCTTTGAGAAAGGGGTTCCTGGACTCCTCCCACTCCTCACCTCCAGGATGAGCACTGCAGTATCGTGACCCTTGGGGTTTTGGTGAGTAGCTTGACAGATAGTAGCATTAGGGAACCTGGCTGGTTTAGAAAGATGATCTTGGGGAAAAGCTTCAACTTTTATTCAAGAGAGATTTTATAAGCAAATTCCCTGTGCCAGGTGCTACAGTAATACTGGGAAGACAGGGCTGACCAAACCACTCTTGGTCCCCGCCTCGCCTTTCTGAAGCAGAAATTCTGAAGCCAAGATTCCATTCATTTGGCAAAAATATTCAAACTCAATACGGAGGGTTGAGGTGAAGGAGGGACTTGTCCAGAAAACTCCTGTGTTTGCTGCATGAGCACGTGGGTGGGTGGAGGTGCCATTTTCTACGGTGTGGAGGACCGAAGGAGTATTTGTCTGGAGATGAAGAACTCCCCTCCCATCTTGTTTAAGTTTGAGACTTCTAGGGAGATGTCAAGGCGGCATCTGTGTGTGCAGGTCTGCAGGGCAGAAACTGAGCTGGGAATGGGAATTGGAAGTTGTTGGCTTGGAGAGAGCATATGGGATGAGAAGAGAAGAGGTCCCAGGATTGAGTCCTGAGGACCTCTGAGTCGTGGAGCTTGAGTAGGCAAGGGGCTGGCACAGGGGGCAGACAGAGTGATTTGGCGACGCGGGAGGACATTTAGGAAAGTGCAGCACCATGGAAACAGAGAGAGGAGTGTTCAAGAAGGAAGCCATTGGCCAGCAGACTAAGAGATGGAGTAAGGTGAGGTTAGAACAGTGGCCAGTGGTGACCTTAACCAATAGTGGTTTCTGTGATTTGGGTAGGGATCTGGGGATGGAAGTTGGTTTAAAACGGTGAAAGGGTGAATGGCAAGGAAGGAAGTGAAGACCATGTGTCTTGTTAACCCTGTGGAGAAACCTGGCTCTGAAAGGGAAGAATAACATGCTAGGGCTAGATTTTGTTTTCCTGTAATTTTGGGTTTGTTTTTATTTTTTCAATGCTGGAAGAGACTACCACATGTCTGAGTGGTGATTGGAAATACGCAGGAGAGAGCAGGGAAAGCCAAAGGACAGAGTGAGAGCTCTCAGAAAGCTGGAAGGGATGGGACCTAGACCACACGTGGTAGGCTGACCTTTGAGGAAAACTGGGCTGTTTTTTCTAGTTCAGGAATAGAGAAGAAGGAGAGGATAGGTACTCTGAAAATAGGTTGGCACATTTGGTGGTGAGCATGTCACATCCTGCCTGGTGACTTCTTGTTAAGTCCTGGGCAAGACCATGCATTGAGAAAGGGGAGGAAAGGCAAGAAGGGGACAGTTGGAGATGAATAAGATATGAAATAACATTCAGCAAGATGAGCCAGTGTGCTGGCTAGAGAGTAGTAGTCATCATAGTCATAGTTAACCCTCATGTTCATGCTCTGCTGCCAAGCACTATATTTTGTGCACTGGTTCCCCTTGTCTACCAAGTCCCCATCCTGAAAGGTGCCAGACAGAGTGATGACGAGCACAGCCAGGGCACCTGGCCCAGTGCCAGCTCTCCCACTTACTGGGGTATGGCTAACTCAGGTGTGATCCACCTTGTGCTCCGGCAAACAGCTAAATACTTCTGAGGCCCAGTTTCCTCATCTCTCAAGTGGGGAGAGTGGCATTGTGGTCTGTGAGTTTAGTATGCACAGACAGTGCTTAAAAGAGTGCCTGACACCTACTTCGGAAGAATGTTAAATAAGATCTAAGAAGAAAAGGGAGAAACATTGAATAAGTAGATCTTAAAGTTAGGAGATTTCTTTATATGGGAGGAAAAAATCTCTCTGTGGCTGTAATGAAGCATCTTCTGTGGAACAGCTTTTCCAACCTTTGGATAAACAGGTGAGTACCACCCTGCAAATGGAGGAGCCTAATTCTAATCTTTGGAAATATATGATAAGACACTCGGTGGATTTTTTTTTTTTTTCTCAGCCAAGGCTAAGGCAAGGGTGACTTAGTTCAGCAACTCCCCTGGATCTTTTGAAAACCCTGCATCTTGTTCCCTGTCATCACTGAGTCCGCATGCTTGTTTTAGCCTTCCGTGCTCTCTCTCCACCCATAAAGTTATGATGAAGAGGTAGCTTCGAGGAAGAGCAGAGTCAGGGAGAGCCAATGGCAAAACCTCAGAGAAGCCACACACACCAGTCATATGCACTCTGTCCATTCATCTGTAAAATGCCTGTTGCTCCAGGTTGAGCAACTTTCGAGAATAAGAAACTGTCTGTAGGAGTACTTTGAAATACAAGTGTTACATGCTCACAGTATTATTAGAAATAATCATTTTTCCTGACTCTTCAGAAATGCCTGGCAGATTGAGGTGATTTGGTATTTGTAATAGGTTTTGAGTTCCTTTGGAAAAAGAGTGCAACACAAATGCCAGGTGTTTCCGTTCTGGGAGAAGCTTGAGTAAGTCACAGAGGGTCCAAACACATCTTAGTACATCATGCTGAGTATTAGAGACAAGCCAAAGACTTTTTTTTTTTTGCCAAAGAACTTTAAAACAGGATTCTTGTCTTCAAAGAACATAGTCTTCATAGGGAGATGAAACATAACACATAGGACTATTCAGTATGCCATATGATCGAGTGCTCGAATGTGTGATGCAGACAGAAAGTGCCAGAAGTTATAGAAGGGGACTATCTAGGTGGTAACTGCTTTTCTGTTCCTGATATAAATGTTTTCTGATGGCTTTGTCCATGCAAGATTCATTTGCTACTTCTATTTTACCAGTGTTTGCTGATGTTTGGTGAGAGGTCACAAAATTGTGTATGATCACGTCTGTCAAATTTGACAACTGCAATCAATTTTATAGTTTAAACTGGAGAAAAAAAAAAAGCTGAAGGTGGTGGGGGATGAAAATACAACCTTAAGTATAATCAAGACCAAAATGTTTTTTAGGATGTTTTCTCCTAAGGTCGGCATAGAAACATTCTGTAACATTTTATTCTAGTTCTTTTTCCTGACTTCTTCATTTAAAAAGAAAAAAATGCAATCGTGTGTACCAAGAACCTCCACCAATTCCTTTCAGCGGCTCAGGTTAAATAGCTGGGACTATTGCACTTTCCAATGAAGAAATGGACATTTCACGCTTGGCAGTGATCCTGCTCAGTGCCAAAACCTGGACTAGAACTACTCTCCTTTGTCCAGTCCTGGAGCCTCTCAAAGTGCCTATATATAAGCTGGAACACCTGAGCTACTTCTAATTCCCTTTGGTTCTTCAGGCACTAACTAATCCTGCATCTGGCATCTTCTTCCTTCAGCCCCATACCCTAGCAGCAAGATCACAGGAGGAGAGGAGGGAGTTGAGGAGACTGTGGTCACCAGAAAACCCTATTGGGAACTTCCCTGGAAGGAGCAGTGACTGAAATTGTACCTTGGTTTTCCCTGAACTAGTTTAGGCTTCCTTAAGTAAAGGGCTTTCTCATTTGTTCTCTGGCTAGGTTTCAGAGTATTTTCTTGACCTTTATGCGTTGAATTAGCCTTGCAAATTGGCTCAAAAAATATCTTAGCTTTCGAAGCTGTTCTTTTACCTTCAGCATTATGGATCATTCCCATGCTTACCCATGCCTGTGGTCCCTGTCATTAAACAGTGAGAGCTCAAGACACATCCTTGGCATAATTTAATAGAAAGATCATGGAAGTCAGGGGGCAGAACTGATTGTATTTGGTATTGGCTCGATAGCTGGTTTCAGGAGTACCTCCTCCAACGTCTCTCCATCCTGAGGCCCTGAGAATGTAAACACAGATTAATTTGTTTCATGGTTGGGAATCAGGATGGGTTTGTTACATTTCAGTGCCATCGTTTCCCATCGGAGGTGAAACACCAGACAGTTGCTTTGGATTTGGAGTAGTACCCTTTGGTTGCAAAGCATCGTTTTGAAAAAAGAAAAACTCAAGTTTTTGACGGGTTTGTATTTGAAAGTAGAGAAATGTAAGGGAGAATGTGTGCCTGAAGATAAAATGTTTTTCTCATGTGCTTACAAACGCCTGGTACATGATACTTGGTGGGAGGCTCAAGTGCTTGGCAGAAAATCTTGTCACTCTTCAGCTGCCTGAGCGCCAGAGCATGAATATCGCTGCTCCCTTAACCCTGTTGGAAGCTGAGGAGTGATCTATCTGCCACATCCTCGAGTTGGCTAGTACTTTAACTTTGATCCTGTTGTAAGGGTGTTTTGTGTCTTTTGTGTTTTTGCTCCCAACCCTTTTTGGGTGGCCTTTTCCCGTAGTGTGCCCTGGAGATGCGAGATTTTCCTTTGGCAGCAGGAGGCACACACCCAGAGAATGCTGGAGCTGCAAGGGGAAAGGACCCACTTCCACAGCAAAGAAAAACAAAGAGGAAAAAGGCATACAGGTGGCCAGCGCTAAGGGAAGCGCCCAACAAGCAGCGGGCCGCTGCCACTGCCCTGAGCAGCTGCTTCTGTTGCTGCCCGAGAGGAACTCGGTGAGCCCATCCCTGTTTGTGACTGCAAGCTCAGGATTTCAATCAATGCATTCCAGTAACCCTAAAGTGAGGAACTCCCCGTCAGGAAACACACAGAGGTAAGCGCTGGGGCCTACCCAGCTGCCCCTTGGGGATTGTCATAGTGGACCTCGAACTCTCACTGAGGGAACAGTGTGTTCAAGCGGAAGCAAGTGGACCCAAGTGGGAAAAGGAAGAGAAAACAGAGAAGTAAATAGTGTTAGAATAGTAAACGGGCCACAGTGCAATCAGACTTTCTGTTAGAGTTTTCTATTGTTATTCTTTTGCCAGCTGCTCTTTGACTGTGCTTCTTTACCACCACCTCCCTCCCAAAGCACAGAGGAAAGGACCTTAGAGCCCACCCAATACGATGTACTAAACCAAGGCCTGGGATGGTGACAAGGCCTTGGGTCTTAGGACGAAAGGACCAGCCCCTAGTCCCCCGCTGTGAAGTGTTTTCCTGTGTTCCACAGTACTTAAATTGATATGTATTTTTTGAAGATTTTGTTTATTCATGAGAGACACAGAGAAAGAGAGGCAGAGACATAGGCAGAGGGAGAAGCAAGCTCCCTGCAGGGAGAGCCCAATGCGAGACTCAACCCAGAACTCCAGGATCATGCCCTGAACCAACAGCAGACACTCAGCCATCCAGGTGCCCCTATTTTTAAAGAGAAACAGAGGGAGAGAAAGCATGAGCAGGGGGAGGGGCAGAGGGAGAAGCAGACTCTCTGCTGAGCAGGGAGCCCAACTTAGGGCCTAATCCCAGGACCCCAGGATCATGACCTGAGCTGAAGACAGACACTTAACTGACTGAGCCACCCAGGTGCCCCCAAATTGATATTTTTTAAAGAATTTTTTCCTCATCCTGTGGGGTTCCAGTTAGTGTATGTGCTCTGGTTCACAATACTGCTTGTTGGAGGGATTCACATCCGGCAGGGTTTCCCTAACCCTCCACTCACCAGCAGGTTTCCTCTCATGCTCTCTGGGTCCTGCCCGTATTTTCCAGCAGGGAAGCTAGACTCCCATTACAGTTGTTCCCTGTCATCAGCCGGGGTGGGTAGTGTTTTGATCTTAACGATGCCTGTTTGTTTACTCTGAGCTACTCTTAGTGTGAGAGTGAGTTCTCTATGTACATAGAGACCATTGTCCTTTACTGACAGAAGCCCTAGAGATGGGTCCCCACGTGACTGTAGGATTCCCCAGCCCAGGCAGGCCTGATCCTCCTCTCTGTCAGCTACAAGATGAGAGCGGGGATGGAGGGATCAAGGAAGTGACTGAGGTGAAAGGTGGGGTGGTCCCTCAGTCCTTTGCATCTCCTTGACCTACTCTAGAAACTGCTTCTCCCTGATTTGGGCAGACCAGCTGCATCCGGCATCTGATCTCCCTTTGTTATTTGTCTCTTTTAGTAGCCCTAAGTCAAAGCAGGAGGTGATGGTCCGTCCTCCTACAGTGATGTCCCCATCTGGAAACCCCCAGCTGGATTCCAAATTCTCCAATCAGGGTAAACAGGGGGGCTCAGCCAGCCAATCCCAGCCATCCCCCTGTGACTCCAGGAGTGGGGGCCATACCCCTAAAGCACTCCCCGGCCCAGGTGGGAGCATGGGGCTGAAGAATGGGGCTGGAAATGGTGCCAAGGGCAAGGGGAAAAGGGAGCGAAGTATTTCCGCCGACTCCTTTGATCAGAGAGATCCTGGGACTCCAAACGATGACTCTGACATTAAAGGTATGTCTATAAGATCTTTGAGACTCAGAGGGAAGTAGCTATTCCCGAGGGAAGGCCTCTGACATTGGTGGATGCTGGAGAGCCTCAGAGCAGCCGAGTGGGGAGAGTAGGTACCAGGTTCAGGAGTTGTCGCAGCTTGTTAGGGTGGAACTGCTTCCTCTTGTTTTCCCACTCCCTGAAGAATGGTCTGGGACTGCCTCATGGAAGAGTTCTTGCCCTTCAGGATGCACATGTTCCGGGGGTGATGGCAGGATGTCTCTCAGTCCTCACCACGTTCTTGGGGATGTTTCTGGCTTCTGTGCTGTTTCTCCTTCAGTCTCGAGCTCCCGTTTGTCTATGCCAGGGGCCTACACTGGAGCAGTTTTCCCGGCATCTCTTATTCTCCTCTGTCAGTTGAACTCTGTGAGACTGGGGTTCTCTCTGGTTACCACTTTGCCACTAGGCATGAGAGGAAGCCCTGGCAGTAGTGTGGGTCTGTCACAGCTGATTCCCGTGTGGCAGAAACAAGGGGTGACATGTGGTAGAAACGGGGGAGGCACCAAAATAGAGCTAGCCAGGAGGAATATGGGGCCAACGACTGTGGCTTCAGTTGTTTTCCCTCCTAGTAGAAAACCAGAAACCTTAATTATGGCCAGAGTATGAAGTCGCATTCCAGGGGTGGAAGTTTGACCCCCCCCCCACTCCTTCCTGCCAGCCCACATTAGAAGTAAGAACGTGGGTGATTGCTCCCCCATCTTTCCTTCCATCCTCAGGTATTTGTGGGAGGCCTGCCATGAGTGCCAGCACTATGCTGCGCAGTAGGGGACCATGGTCACAAGATGCAGCTGCCATCCCCAAGAATTTGAGTGAACCCGGACTGCAGATCATTAAACAATTATGATAAAATGTGATAAATGCTGAAATAAGAGGATTTGGAGGCTGTGGTTTCAACTCACTGGGGCATCTAGTCCAAGAGGTTCCAAAAAGGTTTCCAGGAAGGAGGGACACTTGTGCTAATGTCTGAAGGGTGCATAATAGACAAGTAAGGAGGTGGAGGGAAAGAGTGCTTAGTGCTTAGTAATTTTGTCATTTTGGGAGAAGCGTTTTGGAATTTTTATGAGTTGAAGAGGTTTTCTCTTAGCAAGGTGCTTCCTCCTTAAAATTCTCAAGGTGGGTTTGTGTTGTGGTGCTGTAAATGCTGGCAGAAGCAGCTTTTTCCTTTCTCTGACACCACTCTTCTCATTCTTTTAGAATGTAATTCTGCTGACCACATAAAGTCCCAGGATTCCCAGCACACACCACACTCGATGACCCCATCCAATGCTCCAGCCCCCAGGTCTTCCACCCCCTCCCATGGCCAGACTACTGCCCCAGAGCCCACACCTGCTCAGAAGACTCCCGCCAAAGTGGTGTATGTGTTTTCTACTGAGATGGCCAATAAGTAAGTTCACAGCTGGGTCTTGCTGTTGGCAGGGCTTGTGTGTTTGGACGCCTGAGTTCTTATTCCCACTGAAGGTTAATCCTTTTTTCCCCCACATGTGTTATATCACTTGAAGTTAACAGTACAGAAAGGGGTAAAATAAAATAAAATACAAAACCTTTGACCCTCTCTCCCCAGAGGCAACCACTGATGATACTTCTTTGGCTTTCCTTCCAGAAGGTTTTTGTGCTTGTAAGGTACAGATCTTTTTTAAACATAAAAGAGATTGATTACACAGTAGACACTTTTCTCTAATTTAGCATTCTCTTTTAAATAACACAAGTAATACTTGTGTCTGTCTTAGAATGATTAGAAAATATAAATAACTAAAAAGAGAAATATGTCTGGAATAGAGGTAACTACTGTGAATGTTTTGGTACCTATGTTTCTGATGGATGGGTCAGCAGATTTTTTTTGCTTATTTAATTTCTACAAAATGTGAATGTACCCTACATACAGACAGAGTGAATTTCCACAGCTTTAGTTTATTATTATGTGTTGAGAGAGTTCACGTTTGCTTTTCATGTTGGGGTTTTGAACTAGGATTCTATAAAACACCTACCACAGTGTATTGGTTGGAAGGAGAAAATCTTGGGATTTTTTAATGCCTCTTTTGAGATTTTGCTAATAGTTATCATTAGATTCCAGAAGTCTGATGGTAAATGATAGACACAAATAGTGAAAATTTGTGTTTCTTGATGCTTACTCAACATTTCTGATGGCTCTCTGCACAGAACCACCTTCCTTTCCGCACTTACAAGTTCACTCTGGGGTTAAAGTGTTTTGCAATTACAGGTAGTGGAGTAGAAGCAAATCCTAGTGTGTGCATCTCTCTTGTCTCTGCAGAGCCGCAGAAGCTGTGTTGAAAGGCCAGGTTGAAACTATCGTCTCTTTCCACATCCAGAACATCTCTAACAGCAAGACAGAACGAAGCACAGCCCCTCTGGTAAGCCATTTTGGAAGTGGAGTGTGGTTTAAAGGCTTTCCAGTGCCCATAAAGGTGGGAGGTAGTCTCGATGGTGTAAGCTGCATCCCGGGCATTTGACCTACTTGTGGTATTATGTGGTTTCAGGCAGATCATGCTGTACTGGCCTTTCCTTTAGCAAGCAGGTAAACTGAGGGATTACTAGGAGAGAAGGACACAGGATAAAACAGGAGGTATATGAGGAGATGTCCGATTTCTTTCATGTAGCCATCCCTGGGGAAATCTGAATTCAAACCATGTGTACAGGGCAGGTTTTTAACAGCTAACAAATGCTCTTGAGTTAGTTGCAGAGCAGAAGAGGAATGACTCAAGCCTCCGTACTGGAGTACATGCTGCTAATCTGCTAATTAGAGTCTCAGTGACTTTCAAAATGATTCTTCCTTACTTCAAAGTGAGAGGACCATTAAATACTTTTAATTGCTTGATATTTCCAAAATTCCAATAAATGTTATTGTGTCTCCTGTCTGGAACTTAAGTACCTACCATAAGCCACGTTAGAAAAAACGTGCAGTGGTTGCTTGAATCCATGTAGCGTTCCACATGGAACCAAAAGTTGTTTCTGTGACTGGCATTGTCAGGGCATCCTGCCAAATGCTGCTGGGACACTAAGAGGTTCAAGACACAGACCTTGCTTTCAGGAAGCATAAAATCTAGTACTAGTACTGGGTGTAGTATTCGATGTGGGAAAAGTTAAGTGACAATAAATGAGTCAAATGACAAGTCAAGATAAAACAGTGACATTTTTGTCTTTGTCATGGATCAACAAAGTCCCTCTCCATTGACATAGCAGAGCTTGGGTTTTCCTAGACTTAAAAAGGC